TTTCTGTAATATGCACAGCATTTCGGGCAAACTTAAGACTATCTTAAGATTAATAAGGCAGTGACTAATTGAGCGCTTATATAATGTAGAACAAACTAAAACAATTATAATATGAAGTATTATAATTTAGTAGATTTTAAAACAATGAGATTGAAACACTTATACTAAGTTTGAAGTAATGAGTAAATGGTTGAGCAATCATCATCAATATACAATAATGAAATTGAAACAATTTTAAATTTGAAGTAAATTATCAAATAGTTGAGCAGTCTTAAATTATTTAGAAGTTTTTTGAGTAGCTTTTGAGTAACTGGTAGGTATTAAGTAAAGTGTTTTTCTGATTAATTTTGGGCGATGAGGTGATTTCTAAGTAGGGCCTTAAATTGATTTGCAAAAAGGGATTATAGTGTGTGTTCTGGCAATGAATTCCAGATCTTCGGGCCCTTTATGTGCATAGCATTTTTGCATAGGGAGAGAGGGACACGTGGGATATCGAAGAGTGATTTGCGTCTCATATTATGGCTATGTGTTCTGTTATTAAAGGTTTAAGGTGATTTGCTGTGGTTGAGCCCCATGCACAAATACCATAGGTGAGGTAAGGGTAAATGAGAGAGTGGTAAAGAGCAAGAAGATCCATTTCGGGTACATAGTACCGTATTTTTGGTAGGATGCCTACTGTTTTGGAGACTTTCCTGGATATTTGCTGTATGTGGGTTTGGAATTTGAGACTGCAGTCAAGGTGGAGACCTAGAAATTTTCCGTGTGTGTGTCATGAAATGGGTGAACCAGCTGTACATTTGAAGCTGTTTTCAAATAGCATGAAGTAGGTTTTGTCTATATTGAGAGTAAATTTGTTGGTAGTCATCCAAGTAGATATTTTTAGAAGTACATCATTTATAGTGTCTGTTAGTATGGTTAGGTTTGGGTGAGAGAAGACATCAGCAGTATCATCTGCAAGTAAAATGGATTTAAGGAGCTTTGATGCATTTCAGAGGCCATTGATTTAAATAAGAAAGAGAAGTGGGCCAAGGACTCTACCCTGTGGTACTCCAACAAGAACAGGTTGTGCAGTGGAGTTAGCCCCATTTGTGTATACATACTGGTTTCTATTTCTAAGATAAGATTTTATGTAATTGAGAGAGTGACCTCTGACCCCATAATGTTCGAGTTTTAGGTGCAATAGGTCATGGTCATCTGTGTCAAATGCTTTTCATAGGTCTATGAAAAGTCCCAGGGGAATTTAATTTTTTTGAGTGCTGAATATATTAGTTCAAGCATGTGTATAATTGCATTGTTAGTACAGGTGCACATCCATTCATATGAAACCTTTGGGGCCTGTATTGTTTCGAATTTCAGACTTTTTTGAATTTCAGAACGATTCTCAATCCTGCCATGTGGCGGCGTGACCCAGCGTGGAGATGACTGAAGCTCCACACTCCACGAATAAACTTTGGTTTTTGGAGCTTTTTGAATTTCAGATAAAGGGATATGGACCTGTACTTTTTTTCAGTCTAAATCCAAACTGACAAGGGTTAGGTATGTTGTGGGATACTAAGTAGGAGTAGACTTGTTTGTGAATTAATTTTTCGAAGATTTTTAGATAGTAGGGGCAGATTTCATATAGGCCAATAGTTGTTCAGTTCCACTGGATCACCTCCTTTGAGGATCGGGGTGACCCTTGCTCTCTTGAGTATGGATGGGAAGGCAGAAGATTCAATGGATTTGTTAAAGAGAGTTGCAATAATTGGTGACAACATATGAGAAACTTTTTTATACATGAGTGGTGGCAAGTTGTTTAGGTCTCCTGTCTTGTTAAGTGTTTTGATGATGAGCAAGATTTCAGTAGGGTTTGTTGGGGCTAGAAATAGAGTATCTGGGTAGTTACCAGTGAGGTAGTCTTTTGGCTTAATGTTTGTGCTTAGGATTTTCCATGCTAGCTTTGTTCCTTTGTTGCATGTACACCCACCAGGTTGAGTGAGTGAATGTTGCAATTCACAGACACTGAGAGGTTGTTTTTCTCACTTATTCTTTGATGAACACCACTTTTGTGTAAAGCCATCACAGCATTTTTACCTAATAATTTATATACAGTAAGTGGTTTAACAATCTAGCCATCCTAGTGCTTCTCACCCATGATAATCAAAGCCAGATCATACATCTGAAGAAAATTCTTTTTTCTTTTTTTTTTTTTCACTGTCTGAAGATGGCTTGTCTGGCTTTAACCCTTTCAGGGTCCTCAGGCCCTCTCCGAGACTTGTTCTCAGGGTCGCCAAATTTAAAAAAAAAAATATTTTTTTCTTATGAAAAGATAGAGAATCTTTTCCCGATCATAATGACATCAAAAGTATGAAATTTGATGGAAAACTTACGGAATTATGCTCTCGCGAAGTTAGCGGTCTCGACGATGTTTACACATCGGCGATTTTGCTCACTTTGAGCCCTATTTTCAGTTAATTCCAGTGTACTAGTCGACAAAAATCATAACTATTTCGCTAGAACTCCATTTTTTTCTATCGAATGAGTACAAGAAACCACCCATTTACCGATTTCAACTATCCAATAAAGTGGTCAGAATTTAGCAATTTTGCCAATTTCCAAATAGGGTCCAGAAAAAACAAGAAAGACATTCCTGGTTAGTCACATCCCCAGGCCCCTCTTATATTTCTTTGGCTTTCCACTTTGAAATTTTATTCTTACAAAAAAATAGAAGATTTACTGTTATGCGGACTACTGCATTAGTGTAGAAATGGTATAAATCATATCAGCACACTTGTGAAAGAATATTAGACTCACCAGTTGACGTGTATTGGATGCTTGGCATGATTTGTTTACTTTTGAACTTTGGTAAAAATCGAACATTTCTGCAACTTTGAGCTCAATTTCAACGTACTTTTCATTGTAAAACCAGTCAAAATCATCTCAATTTCCATAATATGTCTTTCATTCTATAAATGAGACCAGGAAAACTAGAATACAACCATAAATACCATACGAAAATACACTGCAATGTTGCTGTTTTAATCCAAAAACACGGTCAAAGTTTTTTTTTTCTCATTATGCGCTGTGTGCTGCAGGATTTTTTTTATACTGCGCACACTGACCACATAGACCCATTCTTTCATATGTAAGCCTACCAACTTTCTCTTGCTAGATTTGAGGGCGCTAGAATTTAGGCATACTAGTACGTCAAAAACCCTGGTGCGTAAGCCATACTAGTACCGCCGAAACCCTGAAAGGGTTAATAGAAACTCTTTAGTGGTGCCCCCCTTCAAGTGGCACCCAGGGCACATGCCATTCCTGCCACACCTTAGGTATGCCAATGTGTGTTCTACCAGGTGTGCATGCATTCATCCTTAATATGACTTTTTAAGTTAGAGACAGAGTGCATTAACCCTTTGAGGGTTTTGGTCGTACTAGTACGTCTTACGCGTAGGGGTTTTTGACGTACTAGTACTCATAAATTCTAGCGGCCTCAAATCTAGTGGGAGAAAGCTGGTAGGCCTTCATATGAAAGAATGGGTCTATGTGGTCAGTGTGCACAGTCTAAAAAAAATCCTGCAGCACACAGTGCATAATGAGAAAAAAAAAACTTTGACCATTTTTTTTAATAAATCAGCGACTTTGCAGTGTATTTTTGTATGGTATTTATTGTTGTATTCTAGTTTTCTTGGTCTCATTTTATAGAATGGAAGACATATTACAGAAATCGAGATGATTTTGACTGGTTTTACAATGAAAGGTGCCTTGAAATTGAGCTCAAAGTAGCAGAAATGTTCGATTTTTACCAAACTTCAAAAGTAAACAAATCGTGCCAAGCGTGCAATACACGTCAACTGGTGAGTCTAATATTCTTTCACAAGTGCACCAATAATATTTATACCATTTTTTACACTAATGCAGTAGTCTGCATAACAGTAAATCTTCTATTTTTTGTGAGAATAAAAATTCAAAGTGGAAAGCAAAAGAATATAAGAGGGGCCTTGAGACGTGACTAATGACTAGAGGAAATGTCATTTTAGTGCCAGGAATGTCTTTCTTGTTTATTCTGGACCCTATTCGGAAATTGGCATCTTTTGAAATTTGTGTGAAATTGGCAAAATTGCTAAATTCTGACCACTGTACTGGATAGTTGAATTTATAAATGGGTGGTTTCTTGCACCCATTCGATAGAAAAAAATGGAGTTCTAGCGGAATATTCATGTTTTTTGTCGACTAGTACAGTGAAATTGGCCGAAAATGGGGCTCAAAGTGGGCAAAATCGCCGATGCGTAAACATTGCCGAGACCGCTAACTTTGCGAGAGCATAATTCCGTAAGTTTTCTATCAAATTTCAAACTTTTGGTGTCTTTATGATCGGGAAAAGTTTCTCTATCTTTTCATAAGAGAAAATAATTTTTTTTTTTTTTAAATTTGGCCGACCCTGAGAATGAGTTTCGGAGAGGGCCTGTCGACCCTCAAAGGGTTAATGAATCTGAAATACAGCTTCTCCTTAATAGTGACGTACTTGTTTACCGACAACTCAGATTTACAACAGGCTCTCTGACCAGTATGCCTACCTAAATAATGTATGTATATTAGAGCTGATTTCCTCTATTCTGTTTATTACAATGTACAGTACACTACTATATTAACATTTAATAATATGCCAGAAATGTTATAAATGGTACAAAAATGATATTAAAGCAATATCAAAGATGGTTAACACAAACCCACTACCATTATAACATGCTCCTCACTTAGCGACGAATTCGTTTACCAAAATGGTCTTAGGAACGGAACTCCGCCGTTAAGTGAGGATAGGCTGTACACTGAAAGGCAGTTAAACCAAACATTCTTTGTTTAATAATTTTGTACACTTTAATATAGGGGTGTCCATGTAATGTATTAAGATTTAATGTTTAAAAATATAACTTTTAGCTCCTTTACTGGTCTTCAGTTTTTCTCTCAAACTGTTAAAATTTCTTTAGCGCAGTTAAAACACAACATTTTTCCTTTTTCAGAAAAGAAGTTTGTTTCATCAAAGCTCAACAAATTTATGCATCCACGAAATCCGTACCGTACTCCTCCCAGCTTCAAAAAGCTTTCCATGAAATTTCCAGAATTTCGAGCTTACTGCACTTATGATGTCAGTGGTAAAGTTCATTTAGACTTCAAGAATCCAAGAGCTGTACGTGCTCTCACAACCAGCCTTCTGGACCAAGATTTTGATCTTAAGGTGAGTTTTCATCATGTTTATGTTTATGTTCACCAGATCAATAATGCAACTATTAATTACTTCTTTCTTCCACTATACCCAATTACAACTAACTTCAAACATGTAACGTATAGTATAATTCTGACAAGTAGTTTGCTGCCTGACCCCTTCAGGTTTTGCATTTAACTTGTTTATGATTTTATTATTATTATTATTATTAAGTAGTTTGCCTTAGTTTTATTCTGCCTAAAATTGGTGCATGGTAATTGGCTTTTGTTAATAAATTACAAACTGTTAACCATGCTTTATAACAGTTTGGTATATTTTTAAAATAATTTAATATTTTCATCAATATAAAGTGAAGCGTTACAGATAGCAGGGGTAAACTCAGCATCTGAACTTTGATAAACAAGACCTTAAAACTCTGCTTCTCTTATTTGGTTCTGATGCATAAATACTGTACTGAAAACTGAAATTGGGTGGGTGCAACAGTGGGGCAACAGAGATGGAGATTAAACTGGACAGATTATCATGTAAGACCATATTGAGGCTAGGACAGGAAGGAAATAAGGTGTGGCATTTTGTAAATGGGCCTCCCAAGTACCTAACACAGAAAGTTATCTTTCAGGGTTCAAAACAGTTTCAGTAATAATTCAATTCAATTCAATTCAATTCAAAATTTATTCTCTATAAGGATTACAATGCTGAGTTTACAGAATTTGGTTATTGTGTGGTTTACATGTAGTGAAATAATAATTACAGAGTGTACCACTAGAACACCTAGCATGGCTAGGCATTTCGGGCAGACTTAAATTAAATCTTAAGTTTAAAATATTACAAAATTATGAGGTTAGTTGGTATTATGGCAAAGTGACTAAATACTAGTTTGGGAGTTTAGCAATGTGAATGCTTTTGTTTTGGCACTATACATAGTTTCAGTATTGGAGTATCACAGGCCAACTTATGACTAGTTAAGATTCATTATTTGAGATTGAGATTGAATATTTCTGTTTATGGTCAAATGGGTGAGTGAGTGTAAGTGTTAACCACCAGGTGGTATTTGTGTAATTAGTTGACAGGGTGTATCAGGGAGATGAGATGTTTTCTGATGGTAGTTTTGAAGGTGATGAATGTGTCTGCAGTTTTAGAATTTTCAGGTAGGGTGTTCCAGATTTTAGGGCCTTTGACATACATTGAATTTTTGTAAAGGTTTAGTCGGACACGGGGAATGTCATAGAGATGTTTGTGTCTGGTGTTGTGCCTGTGGGTTCTGTCGCAACTATCAAGAAAGCATTTTAGGTCAAGGTTAATATTGGAATTTAAGGTCCTGTAGATGTAAATTGCACAGTAGTAAGTGTGGATGTACTGAACAGGGAGTAAGTTTAGATCTGTGAAGAGTGGGGGGGGTGTGTTATTCTTACTGCGGCTTTTTGTTGGGTTATTATTGGCTTTAGGTGTGTTGCTGCAGTTGAACCCCAAGCACAGATAGCATAGGTGAGGTATGGATATATAAGTGAATGGTATAGTGTGAGAAGGGCAGTTTGCGGCACGTAGTATCGTATCTGGGAGAGGATCCCAACCGTTTTGGATACTTTTTTGGTTATGTGTTGGATATGGGTGCTGAAGTTCAGGTTGTTGTCGAGGTATAGGCCTAGGAATTTGCCCTCATTATGCCTGGCAATTAGAGTGTTGTCGATCTTAATGTTAATTTGCGCATCTCCTGCTCTGCTACCAAACATAATGTAGTAGGTTTTGTCAGTGTTAAGCGTAAGTTTATTGGCTGTCATCCAAGTCGATATTTTGATCAGCTCCTCATTAACAATGGTGTTGAGGGTGGCAAGATTAGGGTGAGAGATGACATAAGTCGTGTCGTCAGCAAAGAGAATGGGGTTCAGGTGTTGAGATACGTTTGGAAGATCATTGATGTATATGAGGAAGAGCAGGGGACCAAGGACACTTCCCTGCAGAACTCCAGTATCAAGTGGCTGTGTTGTTGATGCTGTGTTTGGAAGATCATTGATGTATATGAGGAAGAGCAGGGGACCAAGGACACTTCCCTGCAGAACTCCAGTATCAAGTGGCTGTGTTGTTGATGCTGTGTCTTTAATGGTGACATACTGATACCTATTAGTAAGGTAAGATTTGAAATATGCAAGCGCATGGCCTCTTATGCCATAATGGTCAAGTTTGTGGAGTAGGATGCCGTGGTCTACTGTGTCAAAAGCTTTTCTTAGGTCAATAAAAATTCCTAGTGGATATTCCTTATTTTCCAATGCTGTGTAAAGCAGATCTAGCATTTTTATGATTGCATCGTTAGTGCTTTTATTTTTCCTGAATCCAAATTGGCAGGGGTTGAGTATGTTTTGTGCCGTAATAAATGAATATGCACGAGTTTCTCAAAGATTTTGGATAGCAATGGTAAGTTTGATATTGGCCTATAGTTGTTTAAAATCTGTAGGTCAACCATTATGTATTGGTGTAACCCTTGCGTCTTGAGTAGTTTCGGGAAGGTGTTAGTTTCTAGTGACTTGTTAAAAAGTAATGAGATAGCATGCGAGAGGACATGGGCCGCTCTCTTGTACAATAATGGTGGGACATGAGACAGATCCTGAGTTATTTTTAAGTGACTTTATAATCTTGGTGACTCCATGGGCTTCAGTTGGAGCAAGATAGAAGGAATTTGGGAAATTCCCCATCTATGTAGTCCCGGCAGGCATTGGTGCGTGGGATTTTATTGGCGAGATTAGAACCTATGGTTGAGAAGAAGTCGTTACCTTGTTAGCTGTGTCAGTGGGATGCAGTGGTGTTTTCATTAGGTTTATTAGGGCAATATCTTGAGTTTTTTTTCAGTTTGTGGGTCCCTAGAATCTGAGAGAGTGTTTTCCAGGTCTTTTTTATATCTCCTCTTGTGTCAGTGAATCTACTGGAGTAGTATAGTTGTTTGGCTTTCTTTATTACTTTGGTGAGGACTGATGAATAGTGTTTAAGAATATCTTTGTGTATTAAGCCCTGTCTATATTGCTTTTCATATTGGTGTTTCTTATCAATAGATTTCAGAATGGTGCTGGTTAGCCATGGGCAACCAAGCCGTTTGTTTGTGATCTGTTTCGTTTTTATAGGACAATGTTTGTTGTATACAATTCAATTCAAATTCAAAGTTTATTCTCTATAAGGATTACAATGCTGAGTTTACAGAAATTTGGTTATTGTTTGGTTTACATGTAGTAAAATTGTGATTACAGAGTGTACCACTAGAACGCTTAGCATGGCTAGGCATTTCGGGCATACTTAGTTTTATTCTTAATTGTAAAATATTACAAATTATGAGGTAAGTTGGTATTATGGCTAAGTGACTAAATACTAGTTTATGAGTTTAGCAATGTGAATGCTTTTGTTTTGGCACAGTATATAGTTTTCAGTATTGGAGTATCACAGGATTCATTATTTTAAGACTGAGATTAATATTTCTGTTTATGGTCAAATGAGTGAGCGAGTGTAAGTGTGAACCACCAGGTGGTATTCGTGTAGTTAGTTGACGGGGTGTATCAGGAGATAAGATGTTTTCTAATAGTAGTTTTGAAGGTGATGAATGTGTCTGCAGTTCTAGAGTTCTCAGGTAGGGTATTCCAGATTTTAGGGCCTTTGACATACATTGAATTTTTGTAAAGGTTTAGTCGGACACGGGGAATGTCGTAGAGATGTTTGTGTCTGTGTTATGCCTGTGGGTTCTGTCACAACTATCAAGAAAGCGTTTTAGGTCAAGGTTGATATTAGAGTTTAAGGCCCTGTAGATATAGATTGCACAGTAGTAAGTGTGGATGTACTGAATGGGGAGTAAGTTTAGATCTTGAAGAGTGGGGGGTGTGCTGCCAGGGATGGGATTTAGTGATTATTCTTACTGCAGCTTTTTGTTGGGTTATTATTGGCTTTAGGTGTGTTGCTGCAGTTGATCCCCAAGCACAAATAGCATAGGTGAGGTATGGATGAAATAAGTGAGTGGTATAGTGTGAGAAGGGCATTTTGCGGCACGTAGTATCGTATCTTGGAGAGGATCCCAACCGTTTTGGATACTTTTTTGGCTATATGCTGGATATGGGTGCTGAAATTCAGGTTGTTGTCAAGGTATAAGCCTAGGAATTTTCCCCCATTATTTCTGGTAATTAGAGTGTTGTCAATCTTAATGTTAATTTGTGCATCTCCTGCCTCTGCTACCAAACATAATATAGTAAGTTTTGTCAGTGTTAAGCGTAAGTTTATTGGCTGTCATCCAAGTCGATATTTTAATCAGCTCCTCATTCACAATGGTGTTGAGGGTGGCAAGATTAGGGTGAGAGATGACATAAGTCGTGTCATCAGCAAAGAGAATGGGTTTCAGGTGTTGGGATACGTTTGGAAGGTCATTGATGTATATGAGGAAGAGCAGGGGACCAAGGACACTTCCCTGCGGAACTCCAGTATCAAGTGGCCGTGTTGCTGATGCTGTGTCTTTAATGGTGACGTACTGATACCTATTAGTAATGTAAGATTTGAAATAAGCAAGCGCATGGCCTCTTATACCGTAGTGGTCAAGTTTGTGGAGTAGGATTTGGTGGTTTACTGTGTCAAAAGCTTTTCTTAGGTCAATAAAAATTCCTAGTGGATATATAGTCTAAGTAATTTGTTAAGAAAAATGTCTGTCCAGTCGTCAATACCATTGGCCTTGGAGAATTCTGTAGGCCAGTCAACAGTCTCTAGGTCAGCTGTGAACTTCCTTATTGAGGCCTCATCATGGAGTCTAAATGAAACTTTGTTGTATTCAAGTGGTGGTTTAATAATGTTTGTCAAGAGGAAGGTAGGGTAGTGGTCTGTAGTGCTATCTGTGATTATCCCTGATTTAAGGGGGGCTAGTATATTGGTCCATATGTGGTCTATTATGGTTGCACTCGTTTCAGTGAGCCTGGTTGGTTTAGTTATTGTTGGTATGAGAAGTGTGTTGTTCATATTGTTGATGAAATCAGTTACAGGCAGACTTTCATAAAGGCTAGTTTGAATGATTATTGACAGCTTATATTTAAGTTTTTCTATAATAGGGACTCATATAAGAGTATAATATCTGGAAATTGCTTCTTTCCAGGTCAGCATTCCTGATGACCGACTGGTGCCAACACTTCCTTTACGCCTCAATTATTTGTTATGGATTGAAGACCTGCTGACACATGCAGCACACTATGACTCTGAGCACTTATGTCTTGGCCATTGATATTGGTATGTATAGCCCCAAAGATAACCATCAGTATCTGGCAACTTTTCTCTTATATTTAAAATAATTTTTCTTATTGAAACTAATTCATGCTTAGAGATACACAGTTATAGTACCGCCTTGACTTTCGAGTTTAATTCGTTCCGTGACCGAGCTCGTAACTCAATTTGCTCATATATCAAATCAGTTTTCCTTGTTGAAATTAATTGAAATGCCATTAATCCATTCCAGCCCCCAGAAATCCATCCCAATTTTTTTTGTTACAGGTTTTTAAATAAAAATGTATTTATACATAAGAAATGATTTGTGCATTTTTTGCCAGGTCCCAGCAATGTTTTAGAAATTCTGGAGTATACATGTACATATATGAAACTCCTTGAAGCACGGTGTAAGATGAACGTCACTCATCTTACACCGTGCACTGCCTTGGCTTTATTTTTCAGTGTTACACATAAACATGTCTATCGATTTGTTTCTGTCTGTCTCTGTCTATCTGTTTCTGTCTATTTGTCTGTCTGTCTAGCTCTGTTTATCTCTGTCTCTGCTCATCTGTCTTTCTGTCAGCCTGTGTTTCTGCCTTCCTGTCTCTCTACTTGTCTCTCTCAGAGATAAAGCCATTCATTAGCCAGCAGGTATTACACACAATGCAGAGTCGTCATGTCTGATTCCTGAACAAGTGAAAATGTGTGTTACTTGCCAGTCATGATTATTATGCCTTATATCTACATGCATAGTATAGCACTTTCTCTAGATTTTTGGGGTTATGCTAGTTAATTTACACTATGTATAACTGTATTTAACCCGTGAACGGTCCAAACGTATACATATATACGTTTTTACCGCTAGTGCCCCAAACGTATATACAGTATACGTTTTATTTGTCATACATTCAACATTGCCACGATAATCCTGAGTCACCTAGACATGAGAGAATGGGTGTGCGCACTCACTGTGCTCCATATTAAAATAATTAGGGATACCTGGTTACCATATGCTCTTTTTTCCTATTAAAAAACAATGATTTTTTTTCTCAAAAAATTTGGGGCACTACGGTAGAGAACGTATATAGTATACGTTTGGACTGTTTATGGGTTAATAGGTAGTAGGTTGGTAGACAGCAACTGCCCAGGGTGGTTCTATCGTCCTGCCAAGTGAGTGTAAAACGAAAGCCTGTAATTGTTTTGCATGATGGTAGGATTGCTGGTGTCATTTTTTCTGTCTCATAAACATGCAAGATTTCAGGTACGTCTTGCTACTTATACTTAGGTCACACTACTTATACATATGTTTTTTTTTTTTTTTTTTTTTTTTCAACAAGTCGGCCGTCTCCCACCGAGGCAGGGTGACCCAAAAAAAAGAAAGAAAATCCCCAAAAAGAAAATACTTTCATCATCATTCAACACTTTCACCACACTCGCACATTATCACTGTTTTTGCAGAGGTGCTCAGAATACAACAGTTTAGAAGCATACACATATAAAGATACACAACATATCCCTCCAAACTGCCAATATCCCAAACCCCTCAAGCATATATATACACACCCCTCTGGGTTTACTTCTATTTTCTTTCTAGTTCTTCCTCTTGTTTATTTCCTCTTATCTCCATGGGGAAGTGGAACAGAATTCTTCCTCCATAAGCCATGTGTGTTGTAAGAGGCGACTAAAATGCCAGGAGCAAGGGGCTAGTACTCCCTTCTCCTGTTTAAATTACTAAAGTTAAAAAGAGAAACTTTTGGTTTTCTTTTTGGGCCACCCTGCCTCGGTGGGATACGGCTGGTGTGTTGAAAGAAAGAAGAAAGAATAACTGTATTTATGTGTAACTGTGAGATGTAGATAAATGGTTCAGAGAACCGATAAGTTGATAAATTAAACACATGTGCAACACTTGGGTATCTTTAAGAAGGAAATGTTTTGCCACACAGTGGCTTCATCAGTCCATACCAAGGAGAATGGTGAAGAACAAGAGGAGTTTGAAGTAATCAATCCCTCAGCCTTGAGTTGATGTGATCAGTCCATCAATCTTGAAAAAAATACAGCATATGTGCGAAGAAGTGGCTTATATACTGTAGGTAGGAGAGGTGCAACAGTCATAGGTGGTATCACATTTGTCCAGTGTGGAAGTAGGCCATGCCTAGGGAATTCTTCACTTGCCTAACCCTTGGGCATGACCTACTTCTACATTGGACAAAAGTGATGCCACCTACAACTGCTGCACCTCTCCTGCCTACAGTTTATAAGCTACTTCTTCACACATATGCTGTATTCTTTTCAAGTTTGATGGACTGATCACATCAACTCATGGCTGAGGGACTGATTACATCAAATTCCTTCTGTTCTTCACCATTCTCCTTTGTATGGACTGATGAAGCCACTGTGTGGCAAAACGTTTCCTTCTTAAAGATACCCAAGTGTTGCATATGTGTCTAATTTTTTACCTGTGAGATATGCAACAGATATAGACCAAGACAGAGATAGACCGAAACAGAGATAGACCGAGACAGAGATAGACTGAGACAGAGATAGACTGAGACAGAGATAGACCGAGACAGAGATAGACCGAGACAGAGATAGACCGAGACAGAGATAGACCGAGACAGAGATAGACCGAGACAGAGATAGACCGAGACAGAGATAGACCGAGACAGAGATAGACCGAGACAGAGATAGACCGAAACAGAGATAGACAGAGACAGAGATAGATCGAGACACAAATAGATCGAGACAGACAGAAGGAGATAGAGACAGCCAAAGCAAATCGGCCAGCCGGCCAGCTGCCGGCCAGCCAGCCAGCTAGCCAGCTGGCCACCCAACCAGCTGGCCTGCCGATCATGTATTACACATGTTCCGGAATTGTTTCTCTTTACTTAAAGCATATGTTATAGAACATTCTGACAAGATGACATTACCAGTGGTATCAAAATTGAAAGGAAGTTACACATCGGTTATTATCGAGGTTTTTTTTATATTTCCTTGGCATCTCCTGTGAATGGTGGCGTATCTGAAGCTTGCTCACAACTCGGATTTTGGCTCGTAACTCAAAGCAAAAGATCGACCGAGAGACGGCTCATAACTCGGAAAACTCGTAAGTTGGGGCACTCATAAGTCGAGGTACCACTGTATATGTATGGAGGGAAGTGGTAAAGGACTTTTTGTATGATATTTCAGGCTGAACCAAGAAGAGATAACCCAACTTTTGTAACTGATGTTCTCAATATTGTACTGTATCTCTTATTCAAAAAATCTTTTGAAACTTTTTCCTTCAGTATAAACATTATCTTGCACTTTAAGTTTCATCATCTATTTCATCATTCATTTATTATTGAAAGGAAATCTGAGGTTTTGCAAGTAACTGTAAGTTGTTTTGTGTGTTTACAGGTGTTGGAGCAGCATGTGTTTACCCACTGTTAGGAGCGAAACGCTTTGGCTGGTGTTTTGTGGGCACTGAGAGTGACCAACTAAGTTTTACAAGTGCTCACACAAATGTTCAAAATAACAATCTTCAAGATAAGATATTTTTAAAAAAGGTAGGATTTCTTATATCTTTCCAAATGAAGTTAATGATGTAGGTAGCAGGTTGGTAGACAGCAACCATCCAGGGATGTACAGTATTATTATCCTGCTTTTTTTTTTTTTCAACAAGTTGGCTGTCTCCCACCAAGGCAGAGTGATCCAAAAAGAAAGAAAATCCCAAAAAACAAAATACTTTCATCTCAACACTTTCACCTCATTCACACATAACCACTGTTTTTGCAGAGGTGCCCAGAATACAACAGTTTAGAAGTATATACGTATAAAAATACACAGTATATCCCTCCAAACTGCCAATATCCCAAACTCCTCCTTTAGAGTGCAGGCATTGTACTTCCCAGTTCCAGGACTCAAGTCCGGTTATATAAAATAACCGGTTTCCCTGAATCCCTTCACTAAATATTACCCTTCTCACACTCCAACAGCTCGTTAGGTCCCAAATACCATTCGTCTCCATTCACTCCTATCTAACACGATCACGCACACTTGTTGGAAGTTCAAACCCCTCACCCACAACACCTCCTTTACCCCCTCCCTCCTGCTATATTAGTATGAAATGAAATCCTGTTAAATGCATTGATTGCTGTCATGTAGACATGTTAGCAGATGGGTCTTTGAAAGATGAGGTGAACCATACAGTATAATGTGCACTCTTTGCGGTTAATACTAACTGAGAAGGGGTGTTTTGATGATGTGATGGATAGTCAAAACACAGGTGACTACACCCACAAGATGGTGTTACTTGATGACCAGGAAACCTACAAACCTTTTCACATAAGTTCCAGTAACTCCTCACTTTGTAACCAAGTCTCGCCAGATCCTTACACTTGCCGAACAGACTTGATCATATACATATGGCTTACTGGAAATCCCTAAGCCAAGTATTCCTGTTAAACCCATTACATCAATTATTTTATTATCACACTGGCCGATTCCCACCAAGGCAGGGTGGCCCAAAAAAGAAAAACTTTCACCATCATTCACTCCATCACTGTCTTGCCAGAAGGGTGCTTTACACTACAGTTTTTAAACTTCAACATTAACACCCCTCCTTCAGAGTGCAGGCACTGTACTTCCCATCTCCAGGACTCAAGTCCGGCCTGCCGGTTTCCCTGAATCCCTTCATAAATGTTACTTTGCTCACACTCTAACAGCACATCAAGTATTAAAAACCATTTGTCTCCATTCGCTCCTATCAAACACACTCACGCATGCCCGCTGGAAGTCCAAGCCCCTCGCACACAAAACCTCCTTTACCCCCTCCCTCCAACCTTTCCTAGGCCGACCCCTACCCCGCCTTCCTTCCACTACAGACTGATACACTCTTGAAGTCATTCTGTTTCGCTCCATTCTCTCTACATGTCCGAACCACCTCAACAACCCTTCCTCAGCCCTCTGGACAACAGTTTTGGCAATCCCGCACCTCCTCCTAACTTCTAAACTACGAATTCTCTGCATTATATTCACACCACACATTGCCCTCAGACATGACATCTCCACTGCCTCCAGCCTTCTCCTTGCTGCAACATTCATCACCCATGCTTCACACCCATACAGGAGTGTTGGTAAAACTATACTCTCATATATTCCCCTCTTTGCTTCCAAGGACAAAGTTCTTTGTCTCCACTGACTCCTAAGTGCACCGCTCACCCTTTTCCCCTCATCAGTTCTATGATTCACCTCATCTTTCATAGACCCATCCGCTGACACGTCCACTCCCAAATATCTGAATACATTCACCTCCTCCATACTCTCTCCCTCCAATCTGATATCCAATCTTTCATCACCTAATCTTTTTGTTATCCTCATAACCTTACTCTTTCCTGTATTCACTTTCAGTTTTCTTCTGTTACATCCCCTACCAAATTCATCCACCAACCTCTGCAACTTCTCTTCAGAATCACCCAAGAGCACAGTGTCATCAGCAAAGAGCAACTGTGACAACTCCCACGTTGTGTGATTCTTTATCTTTTAACTCCACACCTCTTGCCAAGACTCGCATTTGCTTCTCTTACAACCCCATCTATAAATATATTGAACAACCACAGTGACATCACACATCCTTGTCTAAGGCCTACTTTTAGTGGGAAATAATCTCCCTCTTTCCTACATACTCTAACTTGAGCCTCACTATCCTTGTAAAAACTCTTCACTGCTTTCAGTAACCTACCTCCTATACCATACACCTGCAACATCTGCCACATTGCCCCCCTATCCACCCTGTCACACGCCTTTTCCAAATCCATAAATGCCACAAAGACCTCTTTAGCCTTATCTAAGTACTGTTCACTTATATGTTTCACTGTAAACCCCTGGTCCACACAACCCCTACCTTTCCTAAAGCCTCCTTGTTCATCTGCTATCCTATTCTCCGTCTTACGCTTAATTCTTTCAATAATAACTCTACCATACACTTTACCAGGTATACTCAACAGACTTATTCCCCTATAATTTTTGCACTCTCTTTTGTCCCCTTTGCCTTTATACAAAGGAACTATGCATGCTCTCTGCCAATCCCTAGGTACCTTACCCTCTTCCATACATTTATTAAATAATAGCACCAACCACTCCAAAACTATATCCCCACCTGCTTTTAACATTTCTATCTTTATCCCATCAATCCAGCTGCCTTACCCCCTTCATTTTACCTACTGCCTCACGAACTTCCCCACACTCACAACTGGCTCTTCCTCACTCCTACAAGATGTTATTCCTCCTTGCCCTATACACGAAATCACAGCTTCCCTATCTTCATCAACATTCAACAATTCCTCAAAATATTCCCTCCATCTTCCCAATACCTCTAACTCTCCATTTAATAACTCTCCTCTCCTATTTTTAACTGACAAATCCATTTGTTCTCTAGGCTTCCTTAACTTGTTAATCTCACTCCAAAACTTTTTCTTATTTTCAACAAAGTTTGTTGATAACATCTCACCCACTCTCTCATTTGCTCTCTTTTTACATTGATTCACCACTCTCTTAACCTCTCTCTTCTTCTCCATATACTCCTCCCTCCTTGCATCACTTCTACTTTGTAAAAACTTCTCATATGCTAACTTTTTCTCCCTTACTACTCTCTTTACATCATCATTCCACCAATCGCTCCTCTTCCCTCCCGCACCCACTTTCCTGTAACCACAAACTTCTGCTGAACACTCTAACACTACATTTTTAAATCTACCCCATACCTCTTCGACCCCATTGCCTATGCTCTCATTAGCCCATCTATCCTCCAATAGTTGTTTATATCTTACCCTAACTGTCTCCTCTTTTAGTTTATAAACCTTCACCTGAGACAGAAAAAAAGGCACCAGCAGTCTTACCGTCGTGTAAAACAATTACAGGTTTCCGTTTTAAACTCACTCGGCAGGATGGTAGTACCTCCCTGGGTGGTTGCTGTCTACCAACCTGCTACCTAGGTTTATTATATATATCTTTCTTTCTTTCAACACACCGGCTGTGTCCCACTGAGGTGGGGTGGCCCAAAAGGAAAAACGAAAGTTTCTCCTTTTACATTTAGTAATATATACAGGAGAAGCCTGTATATATTACTAAATTGCTCCTGGCATTTTAGTCACCTCTTACAACACACATGTCTTACGGAGGAAGAATTCTGTTCCATTTCCCCATGGAGGTAAGAGGAAATAAACAAGAACAAGAACTAGAAAGAAAATAGAAGAAAACCCAGAGGGGTGCGTATATATATGATTGTACATGTATGTGTAGTGAGACTAAAGTGTAAGTAGAAGAAGCAAGACATACCTGAAATCTTGCATGTGTATGAGACAGAATAAAAAGACACCAACAATCCTACCATCATGTAAACAATTACAGGCTTCCTTTTTAAACTCACTCGGCAGGACGGTAGTACCTCCCTGGGTGGTTGCTGTCTACCAACCTGCTACCTAGGTTTATTATATATATATATTGTATAGAATTTTTGCATCTGCAAACATATTTTTATAGTATTTTTATAGTATTTTATAATAGTTCATATAAATTAGAAAGATTGCTGAGCAAGTTCTGACTCTTCTGAGACCCTACTGGCAACATTTTCCTATGAGGATATTTTCCTCTTTTAAATGTGTTTGCATTCTCCTTTCAGTGATAAGATCCTTTATCCAATGGGCTGTACTAGTTTTCCTTTGAATCCTCCTTTATTGGACAGTTACAAAAATTATTCTGTTATTGAAAATCGCTGGCCTCCCTTATTATATGTGACAGTTGCATTCCTTGCCCATGGCACATAGTCACTTCACAGAAAGTGAAACCAATATAACATATAACACAGGGATTTCTTACTGAAACTTTGTAAATTTTACTTTTCTTGACTAATGTGTACTAAAAAAATATGAGCATTTCACAGATGCACTACATGGTCATATATTAAAAAAATAATTTGGTTGAAAAACAACTGAGAAAAACAAATTTAAAGTTAAATGTTAATCTTCCTCTCTCTAACTCTCCCCTTTCCTTCCTAAATTACCAACAACCAACCTGTGTGTCTATCTGTATTGCAGTGCATAACCTGTGAACCTATGAATACATACAGTACCACCCTGCTATTTTCTTTCATGTCTACCACTAGTCTCAGCTTTGTGTTATGCAACATAACTTTATCTAGCCAAGTGTCCCTTTCTTTTGACTTGGTGCAAGACACTTGAATTGAAAACCAACAACTGGATTTCATTCAGAATATGCTCATTGGATTTATCATGCCCACATCTATTTTCTTCCTGGTTATTCTTTGCTATGAATGTAACAATAAACATAAGAGTGATATTCAAAGATGTTTTGTTAAAAAATCGGGTGGTGCTGGGCTTTCTTGGTTGCATAGGAGCCAAAGGTGTGCAGCGACCATCTGTTCCAGTTGAATAAGAGTGGATTTTTACTGTGTATAGTGAATTACTGGTAGAAATGAAGTCATCACATATAAGTGAATTCGGAAAAAGTAAAGCTACATATAGCAAGTAAAACCTATATATCAAAAGATTTTTTGGAATAGTCTATATGTGTGTTTAATTATTATTTTAAACATAGCATTTGTCCTGTATTAATAGATTGAAAATTTTTATTTTTTTTTTATTCTTGTCCAATTTTATCTAAGAATTTTGGAGTGAACATGTTTGTTAGAAAGATACCCAATAGCTAAATATACTTTTATAACTAAACATTATATTATTTTTTCAGGTTGAAAGTAATATTATTTTTAAAGATGTGATAGGTGAAGAAAAGGTAAAGTCTTGGACATTAGAGTGCAAATTAAGAAGTAAAGTTGACATTGCTGAATGTTCTAAGAAATGTGCTGAGTGTGAGCCACAGGCATCTCAGCTGAACCCTCAGAATGAAGTAAACTTTGATGAAGGTTAGTGAATCATTCAATTAAAGCTAAACATGTCTTAATTGGGAAGTACAATGCCTGCACTTTAAAGGAGGGGTTCGGGATATTGGCAGTTTGGAGGGATATGTTGTGTATCTTTATACGTATATGCTTCTAGACTGTTGTATTCTGAGCACCTCTGCAAAAACAGTGATTATGTGTGAGTGAGGTGAAAGTGTTGAATGATGAAGAAAGTGTTTTCTTTTTGGGGATTTTCTTTTTTTTGGGTCACCCTGTCTTGGTGGGAGATGGCTGACTTGTTGAAAAAAAAAAACTGTCTTAATTTAGCTTTTTTTTTTTTTTTTTTTGTATGGTGGAACCACTGGGAGGTCTACATAGTATATGTTATGTGTCACTCACACTACATAGTATATGTTATGTGTCACTCACACTACATAGTATATGTTATGTGTCACTCACATAATTATGTGCTTTCTATCCCCAATCTCCTTGAGTTAAACCCCAGATTTTGTGTGTTTCATAATTTGTGTGATTTGAATGTTTTCCTGAAGTCCATTTTGTGAGTAGCTTTGTTATTTATGTAGTGTTCTTGATGCCCATTTTCTTTTTGCTTGGCACACAACCCTTAAACTGAAAACTAATTATAAGATTTCATTCAAAGTGGACTTATTCTTTCATATGAATATCAGTACTAAGCAGAATAATGCAATATTTAAAGATTGATGGAAACAGTTTGCTAGACTTATGTATTGGTGTATAAAAGGTTGATTGGCAGTGTGATGTACAGAGATGGTTTTCCACCACCTTTGCAAGCCTGGGTTGAGAAACAGGATCCTGTGTCAGCTAGGCAGTTGTGGCTCAGATGTCTTGTAGGTGTTAAAAGTAACACAGTGTCTCCTTTTGCTGTTATCTGTTATGTGTTTAGCTTCATGGAGTCAAGTGTACAAACAGTTTCCATGGGAATTACTTTCTAAAATTCATAGTGGAAAAGGGAGAGGATAAAATGTGGTAGTTCCTGTCTGAACACTGCAGAGGAAGAGTGGCTGCTCCAGATAGGTTGAGCTCTGGTCGGCTGGTGTCTTGCGTGTGAGTATAAATCTGTATGAACTTGTATCAGTTGTTCCCCTAGTAATAATTCCCACAGAAATGTGAAGTGTAAGGTAAGGGTGTACTTCCCCCTTTTATTTTATTTAGTGGTATAAACCTTGGTAATAAATACCGACAAGTTGGTTTAGAAAGACACGTAAGCAAACACTATGACATATTTATTAGAAAACGTTTCGGTCCTGGGACCTTGATCACTTCTAACATACAGAGGTAGAAAGACATTATATATATAGGCGGAGAGTGAGATGTGAGTGACGCACATGACCTGAGGAATGTCATGTTGTGATGAGGACGGGTAGACAAAGAAATCATGTGACTCCTGTGTTGTTGGGTTGGTGGTGCTTAAGTATCATGTATGCCAATGTTTTTGAAATTTTGTAGTTTCCAGTGTTGCATTCTATAGTGTCGGTGACGGCGATTAGTGAGGCTTCTAGGCACCGTCGGCGTCTGAGGTCTGGTTCTGTAAGAACGAGTTGTGCCTCATTCCAGTTCATCAAATGCCCCGTGGAGTCTCTGTGGAGGACACAGGCGTACCTTACATCGTCTCTGTTAGAGGCATTCCGATGCTCATTCAGGCGGACTGCAAGATCTCTGCCTGTCTCGCCTACATATTTCTTTGGACAGAACCCACAGGGGATAGTGTAGACATCTGCTGTAGAAGTTAGAGGTGTGGGGCTGCGTTTCGTAGTGAGGTCTTTGATAGATGATGTGTTTATGGTGGAAACGTTGATGTTACTCATAGCAAGTGCCCGGCGAGTATTCGTGGCAACCTCACCACATGGAAGTACTATGAACTGCTTAGGGGGCTGTTCCATGGGCGGTTTGTTGAGGATAGCTTGTGCCTTGAGTCTGCAATCTCGGATGAAGAAAGATGGGAACTGAAGACATGTAAAGGCTTGTGTTATGTAAGTGCATTCTTCTTCTAGAAAACAAGGGCTGGAGATGCGAAGAGCTCTCAAGAAGAAGCCAATGAGGACTCCTCTCTTAGTGTGGGTGTCTTGGTGTGAATAAAAGTGTATAAGGTCATCCTTGTTGGTAGGTTTTCTATACACTTTGAAGAAAAGTTTGTCACTGTCGGGAGATCTGCACAGGAGAACGTCGAGGAAAGGAAGTTTGCCATCGTTTTCTAGTTCAAGTGTAAACAAGACCTGTGCTCCCACAGAAAATGGAGCGAAATGGGACGACCAGAAATCATAAATAACTTATCTTCCTATACACTAACCGTCACCGAGACAGAAGCCCTCAGCCTAGGGCTCAAGTTTACTACCGATATCAACAAGAAACATAATCTGGTGGATATGGTAATCAAGAGCCAACCTTTTGGAGGCTCTGAGTTTCAAAAAGGCTTTGTTCAAGGAATTATCACTGCTGCAGCTACTGAGCCTTCAAGACCAGTCATTCCCAGAAGATACATCCAAGCACTCAGGGACTTGGCCAACAACGATGATATCGTCATTACAACCGCTGACAAAGGAGGTGGTGTGGTATTACTCAACACTGTCGACTACAACAATGAAGTTTTAAATCTTCTCAGTGATGCCAACACATACCAGCCTGTATCAGAATCAGTGCTACTTCAAAGTACCCAGACTTTTCTTCAAAAGGCTCGTAGCATCTTACGAAAATCAGAACAAGGCAAAAAACTACTTAAACTTTTACCAGGTCAACCGAAACCAGCACGCCTGTATGGCCTTCCTAAGACACACAAACCTGGCATCCCACTATGGCCTATCACTTCGGGCATAGGGGGTGCACCACACAGACTAGCCGGCCACCTTGCCAAATACCTTTCAGCGCTTCTGGGCACCATCAGTCAAGCCCACCTCAAACACTCAGGTGACCTTCTCTCCCGAATTTCCAACCTGAATGTTAAAAACAAAAGCATAGCTTCCTTCGATGTCACAGCCTTCTTTACCAACGTTTCTACTGATGCTGCAATCAACATTCTAAGACAGAAGCTCACTGAAAACCACGACCACCCTTTACCTCTTCTAGATTTCATCAATCTAATGGATCTTTGTGTTAATTTCAACTTCTTCAAGTATCAGGACAACTGTTACAAACAGTGCTTTGGGATGGCAATGGGCAGTCCGCTCAGTGCTGTGCTTGCCAACCTCTTCATGGAAAACCTAGAGACAGAGAAATTCAGCACCCTCATTCCCAACACCGTTACCTGGCTAAGATACGTTGATGATATATTGGTTTTCTATCCGAGACATCTCAATATCCAAACCCTTCTCAACAAGATCAATGCAGTTGAACCATCAATAATGTTTACACTTGAACTAGAAAACGATGGCAAACTTCCTTTCCTCGACGTTATGCCTGTGCAAATCTCCCGACAGTGACAAACTTCTCTTCAAAGTGTATAGAAAACCTACCAACAAGGACGACCTTATACACTTTTATTCACACCAAGGCACCCGCACTAAGAGAGAGCTCTTCGCATCTCCAGCCCTTGTTTTCTAGAAGAAGAATGCACTTACATAACACAAGCCTTTACACGTCTTCAGTTCCCATCTTTCTTCATCCGAGATTGCAGACTCAAGGCACAAGCTATCCTCAACAAACCGCCCATGGAACAGCCCCCTAAGCAGTTCATAGTACTTCCATGTGGTGAGGTTGCCACGAATACTCGCCGGGCACTTGCTATGAGTAACATCAACGTTTCCACCATAAACACATCATCTATCAAAGACCTCACTACAAAATGCAGCCCCACACCTCTAACTTCTACAGCAGACATCTACACTATCCCCTGTGGGTTCTGTCCCAAGAAATATGCAGGCGAGACAGGCAGAGATCTTGCAGTCCACCTGAATGAGCATCAAAATGCCTCTAACAGAGACGATGTAAGGTACGCCTGTGTCCTCCACAGAGACTCCACGGGGCATTTGATGAACTGGAATGAGGCACAACTCGATCTTACAGAACCAGACCTCAAACGCTGACAGTGCCTAGAAGCCTCACTAATCGCCGTCACCGACACTATAGAATGCAGCACTGGAAACTACAAAATTTCAAAAACATTGGCATACATGATACTTAAGCACCACCAACCCAACAACACAGGAGTCACATGATTTCATCGTCTACCTGTCCTCATCACAACATGACATTCCTCGGGCCATGTGCGTCACTCACATCTCACTCTCCGCCTATATATATAATGTCTTTCTACCTCTGTATGTTAGAAGTGATCAAGGTCCCAGGACCGAAACGTTTTCTAATAAATATGTCATAGTGTTTGCTTACGTGTCTTTCTAAACCATTTTATTTAGTAAATTGTAGCCATTGTACCCATTTTTATTTTTTTTTCCTTAGCATTTCTCTCTTATATTTGTTAAGTATTTCTATTATTGTGCCTGCACTCTGAAGGAGGGTGTTGATGTTGCAGTTTTATAACTGGAGTATAAGTGTGCCTCTGGCAAGACAGTGATGGAGTGAATGATGATGAAAGTGTTTCTTCTTCTTCAGGTCACCCTGCCTTGGTGGGAAATGGCCATTTTTTTTTTTTCAACAAGTCGGCCGTCTCCCACTGCGGCAGGGTGAGATAAGATAAGATAAGATAAGATAAGATTTCGTTCGGATTTTTAACCCCGGAGGGTTAGCCACCCAGGATAACCCAAGAAAGTCAGTGCGTCATCGAGGACTGTCTAACTTATTTCCATTGGGGTCCTTAATCTTGTCCCCCAGGATGCGACCCACACCAGTCGACTAACACCCAGGTACCTATTTGCTGCTAGGTGAACAGGACAACAGGTGTAAGGAAACGTGTCGAAATGTTTCCACCCGCCGGGAATCGAACCCGGGCCCTCCGTGTGTGAAGCGGGAGCTTTAGCCACCAGGCCACCGGGCCACCAAGCCACCAGGCCACCGGGCCACCGGGTGACCCAAAAAGAAAGAAAATATCCAAA